ACGTTTCATCAATCTTAAAACTTAGCAAATATCTAAGCAGACTAATAAGCTTGCTATATCGAGTGAGAATTAGTACTTCGTTACGGAATCTAGAAGATTATTCCGATTATCGCATTTCAATTAAAAAGTCAACTCGCTCTCATAAAATTCGCACGTATTGTCAAGATTTTGCCATTGTAATTGATTGCTTTTAGATTGATCATGCTTCGCTATTGCAAGAAAATCGTGTGAATCGTTAATACTAAGTCTTTCTGACACAAGTCATGAAGGCACAAGTCTGAAATTTATTCACAAGCAGAAAAGTCCATAGTGGGATTCTATACACACACCACCACCACCCCCCTCCCCCAACAATTTTCACTTATCTATCTCCTTCACTCGACTTATCGAGCTCGAATCAAGTTTTATCAACAAATATCAATCCCCATCGATATAACAATCCTTCAAAGCTGTCGATAAAATAATGCGCTAAAGTCAAATAAAGCATTACACCCTCCTCAACTCTTCGATAAACTTATTACTGAAGTGCGTATCGCGTCGAAGCATTGCTCGACGTCTTTCGCTCGACATTGTAATCCTATCGCATTAAACTACTGCCCATACACTTTCATCGTCATTCAAAGTGCATTGTTAACAATCTCACGCCCACACTCTCCAACTGACTGACTTCTGGTGCTCCGGTGCTAGTCGCACGAACTGCGGGGGAGAAAAAAGAAGATCGCGGGGACGGAGGAGAACGATAATCGGCACGACGTTGATAAGAGCGAGATAACGCGTGACAAGTGGGACGTATGCGAATATCGAGTATGGATTTTTCCTCCTATGCGTTTTCCTCCACGTGGAGGACGAAATGGTCGTTGTGAAAAAGTGAAAGTTTCCTAAGCTAATCGAACAAAAAACGCCATCGTGATTTTTCCATCCACTGCACCAGTATCCCGTACATACCAATACTTGCGAAGGAACTTGGTCGTACGGATTGGGCGACCAAACAGCCGTAAATACGAATCCAGAGTGAACGAAAAAATTACGCGATAAAAAAAAACAAAAGGCAACGCTAACAATAGCCACTGCATTGTCGGAATTTGGAGGTCGGCGCTCGCTCTGCTGATATCGCAGACATTTCCGAGACTTAAGTGCAGTAGTGGTAGAGGGAAACAAACAGCGATAGTGGGAGTGAACGTCGATGCGTACAAATAGCTGCGGTCGCATACTATGAATAACTGGGCGATCGTCGGGCAAACCTGTCCCCGGTAGCTCCCGGTGCAACCGCTGCACTGCATATAAGCGAAATCCCATTTCCCGGCGCGTAATATGCAGGTCGAATCCTCGATACGCCTATCCGTGTGTGCATTTACGCAAAATTACCGCGAGCCCGAGGATCGCGATTGTACGTGATGTACGTGATCGCTCGTGCGCTATGATGTATCGGAACGTGGAATGGTACTATCGACTCGGACGCTTTCCAGGCATATATTCGCCGCGGTAATTATATTATTAAATACGGACAACGACCGGTTATTAGAAAATCAAGTAAATAATAAATTCATGATTTTTCGCTCGTGAATATCGATAGGAGCCGCAACAGCTAGTCCGACTGGGATTCCAAGTTTTATTCCAAGCCGAGTTTATGCGACATGTCGTGCGAAAAAATATTCATCGATCAAGCACTCACGGATCGTTTTCATGATGTAACCTCGAAGAAGACTCGCTTTTTGATTTGCCATGATGTGGCATTGACTTGACATCGGCAATTATAAACACTCGCCACTCAATTGCACGCTAAATTATTCGCAGCCTGGGTATTCGATCGATATATTTGCCGATCAGTGGCGCGATCCTTCTCCGCGATAATTCCTTCATTTCACGCATTGCGCGCTCTTGCCACGCGCCCAATCTTTTCTCAACTCGTTAATAATAATAATCCGACCGTACGATTGTATTCGTTGAATTTGATTTTATTCGCTGAAGTTGCGAGCAACGAGAGATGGGCGAAATATCACAGGGCTAATTGCTTGCTATAATAATCAGTTTATTCAACAATTACGTTCATTACGATGGCTAATGAATATCCAGCAAGTTCCATCGCAGGATTAGGAATCGTCACACTATCGCATTGATTATCCGATTGCGTAATAAAGTTTCCTGATTCCCATCGTTTCGTCCTGAAATGCACCCTCTTCGCTTTTATTGTGATGAGATCTTTCGTAAACTTCTACTCCTTCTTTTATATATATATATATATATATATATATATATACATATAAGGATCTTTTGTTATATCGATATTTTTATAGGCTATCCGTCATTATTACCATTATTATTAGTATTATTATTATTATTATTATTATTATTATTATTATTATTATTATGCGCAATTATTAAGTTAAAAGTGTTAAAATTGGAGAAGCAAATAGTAATCGACTGTAAGTAATTTTTGTGTATATTTGCAAATCGAGCAACCTTGTACCTGTTTTTGGCCGATACCGCGTGCTTATAGTAACGCCATACTTTTATAAATTTACTTTATTTTAATTAGATATATCATTAATATTAATTGAGACGGGAAAGCCCACGATTCGTTAATTTAAAAAAAAAATTAATTTAAAGAGTAATTTGCGAATTTACTCATGAATGCGATCATTGGGCTTTACGCAAACTTTCCATAAACAAGATATTTTACACAGCGATCGGCAAATATAGCATTACTCAGGACATTCGAAAAATCTACAATATCGAATAAAATAAAAAGTAAAGCACTTTACGATGCAATAAAAAATAGTAAGAAAATTTTGTTGAATATGTCTTGAAAAAGAATGTATTGAAAATTTATAATTTCACTCGTGTACCAATAGCAACTATTCGCAACTATTTTCACATATTTCGTATAATTATGAAGCAATTCACAACTACGCTCCCTCTCTCTCTCTCTCTCTCTCTCTCTCTCTCTCTCTCTCTCTCTCTCTCTCTCTTCGTACGTTTTAGTTAAGATTTGGCATTCAATCATTCGCAATAAACTGTGGTAACGTTAATGTTCTTTAATAATAAGGTCATCGCAGCGGCAACATAAATTAATAATTAAAAAGCTCGAGCTTACGGGCTGCGGGGACGCTAAGTCACGGCTCCAGAACAAAGAGCAACAACGAGTAGCCCTTAAACAAGTAGCCGAAGCCGTCCAGATTAGCATACATACGGGTAAATACGAGATGCAACGGAGTGGCTCCCGAAGGCACTGAGACACCGAGTCCCGTTGCCACCTCGACTTTTTCCAAGTTACCAAAGTGCAGCGAAGGGACGAGCAACTCGACAATGGTCCTCTCCTCGTCTCCTCGCGCAACTTGCACTCGAGATCGTCGTAGTCGGGAAGCCGAACTAAGTGCGGCCGGAGATACGGAGCCAGGTTACGCTATCCCGGCTATAAGGGAGAGTCGGTGAACGGCGAAAGACGCGGGCCCGGCGCATAGCTAATACATCACAAACTTGAGAACAAAGAGAGGATAGCCCGGGCTTGCCTTCCGCGGATCCGCCTTCACCCTCAAAACTTTGCCTATTTGTTAAGTCTTGCCGAGGCAAAACTGTCTCCGATACAACCGCTCTCGTTCGCTATAACACCGCGCTCAAGCCCAAATGCAATCGGGACATTTGTAGCGGCCGCGGATGAGCGTCGGAGGAGTTTGTTGGCCCACCAATTGCGCTATGCGGGAGGTGCTCGAGCTCGTGTAGTGCCAAGCGCGGAGATTCTTCCTTTGATGAGGCTGGACGAGGTGATCTAGCGCCGTTACGCTTGCGGCTTCAAGGGTTCACAAACCAAAATGCCATATGGAAATCCCATAACTGCACGCGCGTTTACAAAAATAATTCACACAAAGATACCTAGTATTTTGCAGCTTCCGCGCGTGATTGAACTTTCAAGTACACCGCTGCGCGTGACGCGAGAAACAGAAGGATATGTGTGTGTGTGTGTGTGTGTGAGAGAGAGAGAGAGAGAGAGTGAGTGAGTGAGTGAGTGAGTGAGTGAGTGAGTGAGTGAGTGAGTGAGTGAGTGAGTGAGTGAGTGAGTGAGTGAGTGAGTGAGTGAGTGAGTGAGTGAGTGAGTGAGTGAGTGAGTGAGTGAGTGAGTGAGTGAGTGAGTGAGTGAGTGAGTGAGTGAGTGAGTGAGTGAGTGAGTGAGTGAGTGAGTGAGTGAGTGAGTGAGTGAGGGGGTGGTTGAAAGGTGGATTGATGGAGGGGCCGGGTTGGAGGGGGGGGGAAGAAGGAAGAGGACAGTCGTGGGAAGACTGTCGCGGGGTTAGGGACAGAGTTTTCATTCTGATGACAATAACGCCTTGGGCGGATGTGGCGACGCGAAATTTTCGCCTCCCGCTCCCCCCGGCCCTTTACCCACGTGGCAAAAACCATCAACTTGCTCGTATATCCAATCCATGCCTTCCCCCTTTTGCGCGTCGCTTCCCTGTTTATAGACGCGTCTTTCGATGCCTCTAGGAGCTCCGCTTTGTATTTTCCCGTTTTTTCCCGATGCACATTTTTCTCGCTTATCAACCACCAAGTTCTCGCTTGCAGGATAATTTTTCTCGGGCGAACTTTTTTTGGGAGGGACGAGAGAGAGGAGGACAGCCAATGGCTAAGTATAATTATTCACTCGCGGGAATGGGTTGCGCGAGATTATAGAGGTATTCGCCAGACTCGATTCAAAATTAGAATTTCCGACTGACTAACTGACTGATCGACGGTCTTTGGAAAAAGCTAATTACGCCAATATTAGAAATAATGTGTGATTAATGGCCGATGCACTGGAATTCAGCAATGAAAGAGATATAAATCTATACATCTTTTTATTCTCCCTTCCAATCCCGCTAATCTTTTATCAATCGACTCATTTAAAAATTATGCCATGCATGCGAACTGACTTGTTTGATTTTTCCAAAAACAATGAGATTTGAAGTAGAAAAGTAACCTATCTGTTTTTTTTTTTTTTTTTTTTTTTTTTTTTTTTTTTGTTACAGGGACTTGCATCTTATACATCGCCACGACTGCGCTTATCGTAAGTATAGCAACAACCTTTAACCTTACATTGTCCAATACATAAACGATCAAGGGGCCCCCGAATAAAGCCGCGCATCAGTCCACGTACATTAAACGCTAAAGTCATGTTACACCGAGCAATCAACGTCTATGATTCCACTCCAAGTGTCCAATCCAAGCATTAAAACAGGCGATTCATTGTTAAAAATAAAACAAAAGTAACAAAAAAAACAACAACAAAAACAACCAAAAAAAAAAACAAAAAAAAAAAATAACAAAAAAAAAATACGAAAGAAAAAGAAAATGTATAACCTCCAGCGAACGTGAAAATAACGAAGCGAAGAGCGAGTCGGAGGGCCTCGTGGCTTCGGCTCGGCACCGTCACGCCTCGATGGCAAAATCAAGGAACGACCGAGGCGCGACTCGTGCGCGCGCGATGAACGTTGAGCGGCGTTGACAATGCAGGCAGAGTCGTCGAGTCCCGATACATAATAATCCTCGTTGATTCCTTCCCTAATAAAAGCGAGCGCCGCGACTCTCCACAAAAGACCCGATCCAACCCCGGGCCACTCCCCTCCCGGCACCACCGCCACCCACGGGTCTCACTCCTAACCCGGCCCGCCCGCCCCCGTGAGCATAAAGCACGTCTTCGTAGACGTTGTCGTCGCGCCTCCCGTTTCCGCGGGCGACGAGCGACAGAGACGAGGCGAGTGCACGCGCCTGCAGCTAAACCGAGGCCTATGCAGCACCCTCCGCTCGGGCGTCTGTCGCTCTATATGCGCGGATAAGACAAAGAGGAGCCGAGAATTACAAGGGATACGGGTCAGAAATGCTTGGCGATGCACCATCTGGAATTGCACTTTTTTTTAATTTCCCGAGCTGCGTCGATGGCGAAGGACGTCGGCACTCTTGGTCCCTTCTCTGCTCCCTCGAGCTACCCGTCCTTCTTTTTCCTTTTTTTCCCTTTTTCCCCTTTTTTCCCTTTTTTTTCTTCTTTTTTCTTCTTTTTTTTTTGTTTTTGTTCTGAGCATGCTTTCGGGCTGTTGTTCGATGATTCGTCCGTAGTGGTGTGCCCGCGCGCGGTCGCCCATCCTGTCCCTCTCTCTCTCTCTCTCTCTCTCTCTCTCTCTTCTCTCTTCTCTCTATCTTCTCTCTCTTTCTTCTCTCTCTCTCTCTTATCTCTCTTTCTTCTCTCTCTTTCTTCTCTCTCTCTCTCTTATCTCTCTTTCTTCTCTCTCTTTCTTCTCTCTCTCTCTCTTATCTCTCTTTCTTCTCTCTCTTTCTTCTCTCTCTCTCTCTTATCTCTCTTTCTTCTCTCTCTTTCTTCTCTCTCTCTCTCTTATCTCTCTTTCTTCTCTCTCTTTCTTCTCTCTCTCTCTCTTATCTCTCTTTCTTCTCTCTCTTTCTTCTCTCTCTCTCTCTCTCTCGTATCTCTCTCGTATCTCTCTCTCTCTCTCTCTCTCTCACGCTCATCCTCTGTCTTTATGCAAAGAAATCGAGTGCTCGATGAACGGAGAGGGACCGAATTAATGACGATGAGCGCGGAGATTCTCTTTTCATTCTTTTGTATCGTTTCAATGCGCTCGCGGATTTCTCTAGATGAACTACTTTCTTTACCGTACTTCCATCAATTCAGAAATCCTTAATGCCTGCCTTATTATCAATTGGCTATTCACATTCGTACACACGGCATCATTTTCAGCTTTAAAATTTCATTTCTAAACATCTCTTGGGCTTAAAAGTTCGCTCGGGTCAGGTTTATTCCACGACCTTTTCAACCAATAATTTCATACAATTACAGCGACGATGAACAATATTATATACCATTATCATTATAAGAACGTTTGAGATCGCTATAAATGCGAGACACGTTCGGAGCGAAGAAAACGATAAAAGACACTTTACAGCTTCTCGAGCCACCGCAACGCTAATTCGATCCGAGCAGGTGACCATGACTATTATATTATTTGCTGTATTATGACTGTTATATTAATAGTGACGGTATTCAATGACAGAATGCTCGTGTCTGCAATATGACGATGAAGTAACATTCGATCTCATTGTGCAAGATATATATAGAGAAAGAGATAGAGTGAGAGAATAAATGTAAAAATTAAATGAATAAAGTCTGAGAGGCCGACTGAGAACCGTGAGGATCCTTATATTTTCAAATTAGATCGATGTGCATTGCATTGAGCCAATAAGCCCGAGGAAATAATAAGGGAAAAGTAATACACCCGGCGTGAAAAGAAACACGCCTATAAAAGTCAAAGCAATAAAAACAAGGTTAATATTTTCCTCCTCATAACGTCGTAATACCGGGTCGCGCGCCACAGCAGGACGACTCGGCATCTTAAACACGCACACGCGCGCGCGCACGCCGAAATATTCCATTCATCCCGCTCTATCGGATATCAGAGATGACGAAGAAGAAAAGCCTCGGGGCGTTCGTTCACACATGCGCTCGCACACGCGTCCATTCAAAGTGCAGGGTAGATTTCTATTTCTATAACAATGGGTTCACAAGCCAGACCGAGACGGACTAAGACATAGTGGAGAAGCATGAGCGCTAAGGAGAGAGAAGGAGAGAGAAGCGGCGCGTGAGTCGGTTTTTAAAGGGCCTCAAGGATGCCAGGTACAGGTCTCTGGCGCGCGCGCCTCTTTAAAAGGCCCCCAATTTTCCGCGCCGGTATAATAGGAAAAACCACAGCAGATGGCCTCACCCACGCAGGACGCGTGCCCGGAAACGTTGGGATCGAGAAGGAAGCTTCTCCCGCGGTGAAGGAGCGCCGCCGCGATGCGATAATGACGCGCGGAGATGCGGAGGCAGAGAGCGTCCGACATATGCTTATTGGGGGCAAGAAGAGGTGCGCCTCATTGTTGCCTTTGGCTTTAGTTCTCGGCCCCGAGATGATGTGCGCGGGAGGAACCACAGCTTGCCAACGGCGGAGATCGTCTCCTTTCGCCTCCCCCGGCACCACCGATCCTCACCTCTACAATCGCCACCTCTCCACTGCCATGCCCGTTTAGTCTCTCTCGCCCTAATCTGCACCATTAGCGAGCCTACTAGCCGTGTGGTGTGTGTAACCACGTGTCTGTTCGATCAATTTGACAGCAGTGTTAAGATGAAAAAAAAGAAAGAAAAAAAAGGTGAAGGGAAGGGAGAGAGAAAGGAAAACACGCAGGCTCGAAAACGAGTAGCGGTTTTCTACTCCGGGCTCCTTGCTTTCCCGCCCTTACCGTTATTGTTGTTGCTGCCGCATTGTGGCATCGATTCACGCTCATAGACACCGCTCGATGCTCACGTGCCTAGTTTATCCTCTCTCTCTCTCTCTCTCTCTCTCTCTCTCTCTCTCTCTCCCTCTAAATCATATTCTTTCTGACATATGGATTGATTTACGGCGGTGGGCGATAAGCGGGGGTGGGGATGGTGATGGGATGCGTGCGTGCGTGTGTGTAACGTTTATTTCTCCTTGAACGTGGGCGTTTCTTAACTCGAGCGCTGCGCTTCACGAGTGATGAAGCGAAGAATGAGAATACTCGTACTCGCCTAGACTTGTTGTCTGAAACGGTGACGCGAACTTATCATTCGCTTGAATTAATCGGCTGCTAAGGTTTTTTTTTTCAATCAAATTCAATATGCCGAAGCTTTTTTTTTATTTCAACCATAATACACGGTATTTTCTTTAGCACCGCTCGAACTTTATTAATTATCGTATTAAGGGAGTTCGCCCATTGTGTCCACGTTTCTTTATCTAACCCACTCGCATTATTAGATATCGATCATACAAGAAGATGTGAAAACCGTCTTTGCTTAACGTTACATTGGCCCAGCATTAATACATTGACACTGTTATCGATAGAAAAAAGCACGATTACTTCGTCATTAGGTTGCGGGCTGCTTTTCACTGAGCCCAACTTTTAGTGAATAGCGAAGCGCGAGTCTTTAGTGTTGTGTGTTAGTTTTTAAAAACGACGTATGTACACGATTTTCCCAATAATACAAGTAATAATGAAAATAAAGTCGTAAATTGCAGTTGAATAGGATGACAGGCATATTACTTATAGTGTGGGACATTATTATGTTCTCATAACATAAATTACAAGGTAGAGCAGTTATTCTTGACTTCTTGCCCAACAACGTTATTCAAGTAGAACGGAAAAACGCCTCTGATATGTGAAAAGAGAATACCGACGAGCAGTCTATCGTGAAACTTTAGCTTTCCATTCATTATTTTCCTCCTCCCATTATAAAGTGCATCACAATGGCCGCCTTATTGTATCTTATCCGATTTATCTATGCTCCATTTCCCTTGCGACAACTTTAAGAGAAAAAGATGTGAAAAAGATCGGACGTTAAAAGTCAATTTCCTCGGTACGCGCGCTTGTCACTTAGGTGTGCGCGCGCACAATGCCGATGCATCCGATGCGCATTTCACCACAATGGCGACCCATACAAACCGCCCTCGCGCACGGTTTGTGTATTTTCTTTTTTTTTCCTCCCAAAGGCGGAAGTGTCCCGCTGAGTGCTGGCAACTTTTAACGAGGCACAGCGACAAATTGCCCGAAATCAATTGAGCGATCCTCCATCGAGTGCTCGACACCTTATTCATCCGATAATGCATCCGACGACTTTGGCTCTTCCTCCGGGAATTTTTACCATAATGGTGAATTCGGCGAGAATGGCAAGTATAATTAGCCTCCTGCTTACGCTGTCGCCTATTTGCACTTACCTGTCCTTCTTGTCCTATTAGCCGCTTTCGTACGTGAACCGACACAAAGGTGGCGAAAGGCATTTATTTCGTTTGGTGATTCGTCGCGTCCGGCACGCGTTTGCCTCAGTAAATACTGCCTGCCTTTGTAAACAAGCAAATGAGCAATTTTGCGAATTTTATATGCCGATGAATGTTTAATATCATCTGATTTATCATCACTTACTTATACAAGTCGAAGTCCAATTCTAATAATTTTCAAGCTGCTTGCGATCTTAGGAAATTTTTTCGGATCATCGTATTTAAA